GCTGCGCTAACAAGCTTTTCCTGCTAATTGTAGTATATAGTTAAAACTGTTCCACTTCAATTATATTCATGTGACTTAATGCAGTTGATAGTTTACTCCGTTTTGCGTGTGGATGAGAAGTGCTATCGAACTGAATAAACGCTTTGTTTTTATTTATTGCCTAAATGGAATTTACAAAGCGTTCGCATGATAAAGCTTCCTGCTTGTTAACGATTTGGGGATGTACAACCCATGTAGAAAATTTTGACGAAAAACTAGAATCAAATACACTATTTTTTTGTTAAAAATCAATTAAAATGATTCGATTTAATTCTCACTGAAATTCAATTTTTCGACTTTAAAGATAGATTTCAATTGATTGTACTGCTTTAAATCGATTCTTAATCGAATAATAAAGTCTTACCAGTTAAAATTTGTTCTTAAAAACTAATTAAGATAGATTAAAATCAAACGAAATCTATTCTTAGAGCTAATAAGTCAAGTTGTAATTGAATTCAAATAGTATCATTTTAATTAACATTTGTTCATAAAGAAATTAATTCCAATCTAATTTATCGAAATTCTATCTTACATGAGTCCGTATAAATTGATATCCTTTCTCAACGCCTGGTATGTGCATCGAAGTCTAATCTAGTGCAATACTTACGTTATGCTGAGCAGAGAGGTCCGAAAAAAGACCAAAGGTTTGAGTTTCTAACTTAAGACTCGAGAAAAAATCATTTTACGGTCATCGTCTTTTAAATCAATCAAAAGTCAAATATTCTCATGTTGATCAAATCATAATAGTCCCATTTAATCGATTTTTAGCTAAAAGGAAGTCGATTAGAATCAGTTTTTTTTTTCTTACGTCCAAATTTTTCTTGCAAAAATAAAATAAAGTTTGAGCCGGGTGGCCGGACACAATTTTAGGCCTGCCCGGCCCGGAGTAAAAATCTTCTCGGGCCGGGTGGCTCATTTCGAGGCCTAGAAGCTACATTCCTTGGTTTCACAGTATACATAAGGACATTTTGATTTGAATTCGTACTTTTGTAATGTGCTTGTACGAATAATAAAACAGCATTTCACACTATTTTTCACCTATTGAGTGTTCATTCAAGATAATTGATATATACGCACACTTTAGGTATACTATAATCGAAAAACTGAAGACTTTTCAGCTTTTAGTTGTTGAATTTTTCAGGATTAATTTAGTTTTAAGTAAAAGCTTGGTATGACTTTCACTAGATTTTGAAGCACAAGTCTCATTAAAAAAGCCAAGTATTTCTTACATCAGTCAAGTGATGGGCCGTAGGAGGTTCGTAAGAAGCGAAATGTTACGAAAGAAAATACGAAGTCACGGAAGAGTAACCGAAGAGTCTAATAGATCGCTGTAGAGATCTATTTTTGCATAGGTTTCGTAATTATCGTTTCATTTACGTGAGTTTTCGCAAACTTTAAAATTTTGAAATTGCTGGGCGGCCCATCGTTACATCAGTCGAATACGCCAAAGTTGAATTCTTAGGATGATAAATAAAAATATTGAAAAACATCGTTCAGTTATATTGGCTAGTGCCTCATACGCTTGAGCTGTCTTCGTCTTCTCAAGCTAGAGAGACAGTGAAGAAAGACAGATTCATCTTTCGAGGTATGCTATTTCAATATTTTACAGAAAAAAGAATTGTACAAAACCAAGTTGACCGTAGCCGAAGCTTGTTAATTCATAGCTATAAATTCATATCTTTTTTTCTTTTGTTTGAATACACTTATTTTATATTCTCAGCAGGGCTTAGTGCACTGAATTCAACGCAACACGGTCAGACTCAACATTTTCAGTCTACTTCACATATTGATAGAGAAAATATACCAATGAGAGAAATAAGACAACAACAAAAGCGATTAACAACAGCTGATACTCGTATTGAAATAATACGTCGATCAAACGACAAGGACGATGTTTAACGTATTTTGCGCACAATGAAGTCTTGAATGTGGACATCCTTTAGCATAAATTCTATTTTTTTCAAAGCTGATTGATCATGATAATATATAAAATAATATATATATACTCGTCTCCAAAAGAAAACATTTCAACGAGTTGTATAGAATGTGCTGATTTACGATTTTCACACTAGTCAGGGTGGATGTGGGTGGAGTGTGGAGTGTGGGCGTGGGTGTGGATGTGGTTGTGGTTGCGGGTGTGAGGATGGGGGTGGGGGTTTGGGTGTCGTTGTGGATGTGGCTGGGTGTGGGTGTGGGTGTTGTTGTTGTTGATCTAGTACATGGTAACACCCTGACCCAGACCCCACACCTGCACCCACACCCACACCAGGCTTGCCAAACCTCCTGATTTTACCAGGAGACTCCTGATTTTTGGACTTTTCTCCTGATAGAAAATCTCCTGGTTTCAGGAACTGATTTTCAATATTTTCTCCTGATTTCTCCTGATTTTTAGTTTTTTTTCCTACTTGGTTGGTAGCGATACTGTGAACCAATAAGAGAGTTAAAAGAAAAAAAGAGAACTATTGCAGTATTTAATAGTTATAGTAATGAATAAGAAAATACTTGCTTTTATTTCATTTTTCTCTAAAAAAAAAAGCATCAATTACATGACCTAATTGTATACAAAGTACTTCTTGTACTAGAGATAGCAGAAAAGTACATGTTATTGTCTAGAAAACAAGATCTTGAAAATCAGACAAGAGACCAGTAGACAAAATTTTACATGACAAGACAAGATGTCTCTCATCTGGAAAGAATTTTGCATTTCTTAGAAATCATGTCGGATCTGTTTTAGCTCAGAATAGGACAATATCTTGAATAACTTAGCAAGAGTCATGCGTTTCATTTTCATTATTGGTATGGAGTTGCTATAGGCTCATTTGCACTGCTATTTTGTTGTCAAAGTTTGATAGGAATTACAAACATGAAAAGAATGAATAGATCTCTAGTACAACAAAAAAAAATAAAGGCATCAATAAAAAAGAAGCAGAAGCAATAGCCATTTCGATAAAATGTTCATTTAATAGATCATGAAAGGCTTAAGAGAATAACAACTCTGTTTGTTAAAAGTTAACTTATCTTGTTTTTATAGCATATTAACGATATAAAACACTCATTACAAAAATGAGCGAAGAAGCATGTGTAAGCGATTCATATAGTGATGTAAGAAACAAAGAATGATTGTTTCTTTTGCAACTCTGGTAAGAGTCTTTCTATCGTTCTATTAATTTAAATAAATACATTTGTTTGAACTTCACAATGAAAAAAAGAATTTTTACTGATAGATCAAAATAAAAAGGAATCTGGAAAGAATGGAGATAAGAATATTAACTGGTCAAGTGTATATAAGGGTGTGGGTGTGGATGTGAGTGTGGGTGAGCGTGGGTGTGTGGGTGTGAGTTGCGGGTGTGGGATAATATAAGAAGAATCCACGCCCACACCCTCACCCCATACCCAAACGCCCCACAGCCACACGCCACATGCCACACCCACACCCCACACTCACACGCCCCCCCGCACCGGCACCCACACCCACAGCCACACCTACACTTTGACTATACGAATGAGACATACATCACGCATTTTTTTAATTGCTCATCTTCTGAGTCAAGATAATAAAAGAATTCTTCGGTGAAATTGTACTGAATCCATCGATGTCGACGACAGCATCACCAACAAAAATGATAGTTAGTGGTATATCGAGGCTACACCGATGCGATTTATCGGCGAGAATAGGAGATCGAAAAGTGCTTGAGTATCACATTTAGCTGTCAAATGTATGTGAGAAATAAAACAGAACCTATGTGAGATATGATGGCATATTGGATGATTAACCTGCCGTATCCGACTGCTAAAAAGTACATGTAGTAGGATTTTTGCTGTTTTTTTTCTCGATATCTACTGTTCATTCTTGATAATTTCAAGTGGAAATGAAGTTCGCCTGATGATGTTTATCCATCTAAACTAGAAGCCCAGTTACTCGTTTCTTGACATCACTCTGCCTTAATACCTCTTTTTCTTCTTCTTCTCTCTGGCGAGAACAAACATTTTAAAGAAAGATCGATAGCCAAAACGAGGCGATGAAAGGCATCGATTTAATAACATATACCTGTGAACGAAAAAAACAGCTGTGCACCAATTCGGATGTGGATATGAAGAAGATGAAGGTCAATACGCACACCTTCAAGGTCAAATTCTATGGCAATGAGTATCCCACATATTTTGACGAATTAAATAGTAATCATTTGTTATATCAAACTCGTTTTAATCTTTGATAAAGTCTGCTTGTCTTAATGTGCACACTGAACATCATGCCTATTGGTTCATATTCGATTATCATATGGAAATTGAATGTCACAATGGTGGACTATATTTTCAAGATTAACGTACTGGTTCTTTTATCAAAACATGTGTTTGCAGTGATTGCTTCTTCCACCTTCAAATGTCCGTTCTATGCGTTTGCATGACCGAAGCTTTTTCTAAACAAACGCTATCAGTAGGGGTGGATCTTTTACGTTAATCTCCTTTAATTTAATCGCAAAAATTAAATTTTTTGTTTGACTGTTATAAAAATAAGTTGAATATTATTGGACCTCTAATATTGATAAGCGCGATGAGACTGAACGCAATAGCATATTCAATAGTAACACACTTATTTAAACTTGGATCCTCATTTATCTATCTAGGCGTTATGACTTGTAAAAATCGTGGCGTATAACGTTTTACTGTGCTCTGTCCATATCGATTGTTTTTTAGATGATAAATGAACTATGAATTACATTGAAATTATGTAAATTCTCGAAAACAGCAGGACTAAACTACAATTGATCGCTTTCGCGAACTGTTATTTTACTCTTTTTGTTGCATTCCTGAATTTAATCTAGCTGATTCTGCAAACGCCGACCAATCTTTCTCTCCAAGACCATTTCCAATTGCCGTTACAATATGATCGTGAATAACATTGACAAATGGCAATGGTACGCCCACTTCTTCTCCCATTTGCAACATTAAATTTATATCTTTCAATCGCCACGGAGTGCAACACCACCTGGATTCGTATACTCTCGATTGCGCACTTTTTCACTATATGCCAGGATGCCTGGATGTGTCAAAAGCATGCTAAACAATTGTTTTGTAATATCGGTAGATACTTTCCATCCTTCATTTAATGCATAAATTTGGCCGTACATATCAATTATTGATGCAACACAAAGATTCGCCGAAAGTTTCATTACACAAGCATGAGCAGAATCTTCTCCAACATAAATGAGACCACCACCACAGTAACACTCGATGATGGTAGTAATGCTGTCGATAATGGTTTGAGAGCCGCTCAAAAATGTACGAAGTTTACCGGCAGCTGCAACATCGGGACGACCAAGAACCTAAGAAAAGGCTGTATGACTTAGTTCATATGAGAAAACTTTTCTTCTGAATATCAAGAACGGTTAGACAACGTTTTCTGTTCGTACTACCATTCAGACACCAAATCAAATACATTTAAGGTTCTACTAGACTCCGTTAGTGCATACAGTCAATGTCGCGGTGAGATGACTTTGACCTTTTCGATTGTGACTGATTCTTGTAAGCGCAGGCCGAAATGCTCAGGAGGGACTATAGTTCACTTACAGGTCCAGAAATATAATGTACACCTTTTTCTTGATGCAAATTTGTCAATTGTGTCGCTGCCATTGGACTGATAGTGGTTGTACTAATGTGAACTGAATCTTTTCGAATACCAGCCAAAAGACCATTTTCACCTAATTATGGATAATTAAACTCGGCACATATTTTATCCTTTCTTTCTTTTACCTTGTACTATGTCGAAAACTGATTTATCATCAAACAAGCAACTAATGATAACATCACACTGTTGAGCTGCTTCTCGGGGTGTTGCAACTGAGATGCTACCAGCATCCACCAATGCCTTAGCAAAAAAAGCCAAAATAGAATTAACAAAAAGATAAGCAACATACTTTTGTTTTCGATTGAGTTCGATTCCAAACAACGAGTTTATAACCATTTTTTAACATGTTTTCAGCGATTCCACTACCCATAGCGCCCAGACCCAAAACGGCTACTGTAAAGTTGTGTTTCGAAGCCATTTCTTTCTCAACTGAAAATATGATAACCAACGGTTATGTTTCTATCAACAGTAGAGACAGATAAGGATAATAAAGATCAACATTCATCTTGTCCTTTATTCTTTTTTACCTTTCAACAAAACAAAAGATACAGTATGCATTGATAAGCATTGTATTGACATAGATTTTTATGAGGAACAAAGCAAATATTTGTACAGATTTAAAGGTTTAACTACCGGTTCAATAAAAATGTTCTTACCGTTCTGATTGCGTCTCGACACAAGAAAAAATCGAGTGAATGAAGTGGAGAGAAAACGTTTTATCATTATTCGTACGAAGAAAGAGACAGAATTTGAGCACTGGACCGACTTCGAAACGAATGCAATTGACATTGTACTGACACTCGATCACTTTGATCTGTTTTAATCCAAACTCATGATAGAGAGCACTTTTCAAGAAATTTTTTTTTAATGCACTTGTGCTTCACTCACGCTGTTCATTTTCTCGACGATAAACATTAAGCGAAAAGGTGATTTGGATCGTGCGCTAGGCTATTACGAACGAGCATTAGCTATTGATGAGAAGAACTATCCAGCTGATCATCGATATACAGCTCTGAGAAATGAATGCCATGGTTTGGTGTACAATCGACAACTTATCATCACACAATCGCAATGTGATAGGTTTGACAAAAATCTTGCCAAGATGTTATCAATTATATACAAGAGCTCAACCATTTTTGAACATTTGTAATTATTCGACAGAATTGCCGTGTATTTTGACTAATGTATCGAAGTCACTAGATACCGTCATGAATCGATCGTGCATTCATTTGTCCCAAATGGAGATGAAGTGGAAAATTGCTATGGTGCTTGGGACGAAAAGAATACACTTGAAGATTGTCGGAAACGAATGAGAGAATATGAATTCTGCTGTACGAATACGAGACCACAATTACGCGGGTGTGTGGAATATGCAATTGAGTTTTGTTTCTTGATTAGCCACTTTTGTAGCCGTGCTGATGCAAACGGTGGAAGATCAAAATGAAGGACAGGATATTTCGGGCGATCAGAAATCTATAGCCGGGGTGTGGGTGTGGGTGTGGGTGTGGGTGTGGGTGTGGGTGTAGCTGTGGGTGGCTGTGGCTGTGGATGTCGGCGTGGGTGTGAGTGTGGGTGGGTGTGTGGGTGGGTGTGGCTGTGGATGTGGATGTGGCTGTGGATGTCGGTGTGGGTGTGAGTGTGGGTGGGTGTGGGTTTTCTTTCCACTCACACCCACACCTACACCTCCACTATTAAATTAGGCTTTTTTTCTATCTATTTCAAGTCAAATTAAGTCAAATTATGAAATCATGTGTTTTAAAACGAATGATTGATGCGTATCTAATAAAATCTTTCTTTTGCATAGGAGACCAGTCATTTTAGAATAATTCTTTTTATTTATTGTCAACTTGACGATCGATTCGAATATCTTGGCGAAGAAAACAACAATATAAGTAAATGTGAAAGCTTTTGAATATTCTATCGAAAAAAAAACCAATCAAGCGTAGAAATCCTAATTTGACAAAGATTTAGAAAATTAATTTGTAATAAAAAGTATCGTCATTGAAGTATAGGGTGGACGTGGGTGTGAACTTGACTGTTCTCTTCACTCACACGCCACACGCTATTCAATACCTCTCCAACTTTGAATGTGGAAAAGATAAAATAAAAATAAAAATGGGGTTGTTACTTCTAAATGGTACACCCTTTATACAACAAAAGCAAAGCAACTGGTCAATATTCACTTGGTTTTCAAATATCTTCAGACAAAGAAATTGACTTTTTATTCATCTTACAATAATATTTGACATATCTGTAACTTCAATGGATTATTCATATTAAGTGAATTACACAAAGAACGACTATTTCTAATAACGTATATATCTCATGATTTTAAATCAATATGCAATTATGCATAATTAATATTTATTGATGTAGATGTTTGTCACAATGATTCATTATGTTGAAAGTAATATGTATTTAACACATACAATTTCACTTGTTAATGAATAGATTGGTAAACTTACGATGAGTCTGTAAGTTTCACAAGACAGCTTTATGTTTAAAAACTTAATATAAGAAAAACAAGTTAAAATATTTTCTTGATTTGTGAGTTATTTATTATTTAGTCATTTAATATTCATAAATTGAAATGTCTAAGACTTCAAGTGACACCAATCGTTAATGAATTGATTGAGTCGATAAGGCTAGCAATCAACATTAATATATTTGTGTGTATATTATAAGAAAAAAAAAATATCGAAATAGAATCATTGCTTATTATTCTATTTCACAAAAACACTACGCACCCTAAAAGGAGGAAAAACGCACTCTGAATTATAAAAAAAAGACAAAAACAAGAAGTTAATGATAAGAAAAACAAATGACAAAAATGTTTAAACATTTGACACTTGGTGATATTTTTGGTTTGGTGATATATTTTTGACTTCTATTTCTTTAGTTGTTGTTAATCGTTTATTTTTCTTAAGGTTTTTTTTAATAATGAAGAACAGAAGAACAAGAATAATAGCAATGATACACAGGACAATTAAACCGATAAATAATATATTGTTCCAATAACATGAACCTTAAATCATTAAAACAAACACATTAATAAAAGTAGTTATTTCTTTTTTTTTAATCTTTCTATGAAATAGAAACAAACCTTCAGATGAAAATGTGTCTGCCTTAGATTGAGAACTACTGAACGACGGATGTTCATCAATATGGAGTTTGACAAGTACAGTGTCAGGATCAGAGGACATTCTTAAGAAAAATATAGAGGAAAATAGATCGTAGATACAATAAATTTCTTATAATCGATCTATATTGTGTTTCAATTTATCAATAAAAGCAATACAAGAACAACATAGAAAAATAGGCACTCACTATAGTTTCGATAACAATCTAATAGCGACACAATTACGCATAGTTTCGCGTAATTACGATTTTCTTTTCATAACTAAACGTAATTACGTTGTAGTTGCTAAAAAAGACACCACATGGTCCTTTTGCCTATCTTGTGGATTTCGCGTTTATTTTCTCTTTCTATTCATTCTATGTTGTTTTTCCTTCACAACATATTTTCAAATTATAAGTTTGACGATCTGCAACAACATAGAAGCCGATATGACACCAATAACGGTGACTCAACAAAAATTCTATTGCGTTCTGCATTATTCGTGCCATTTTTCAAGGATTTCCATATTTCAAAACAAGAGAAATTTATAAAAACGATGAGCTGTCGATAAAAACCGAGCTCATGAAAGAAGTATATAGTTGTAAAAAATTTGTTGTTTTTACTCTTGTTACCATTATTTAGGTATGAATTTATCCTCATTTATTATTTTAATCAACAATTTTCTTTTGCTTATTTACATGGTATATTTGGTTAATAAACTTACCCCACCATCGTTTTCTAGCAGCAATATCAGAAGCATCACCCTTCAGTTGTTGATATATTTCTTGAGTAATTGTTGTTGAATAATCATTGATTGAAGTAATTAATGGTGTTGTTGATAGTGGTATACTATTTGCATAAATATCTGTCATAGCTGCATCGACTAAATTAGTTGATACTGTTCCACTTTCAGATAGGTCATTAATAATTAAGTTAACAGTGTAAGAAGGAAAAATTTCATCATCGGAATAATCCTCTACAAGAGCATTTGTTTCTCATTTTCAACTCCTGATAATGTTGATATTATAATATCATTTATATCATAATCAAGTTCTTCGACTTCTTGATCGTCAGTCATAGAAATTGGCTGACGATAGCAAGTAGATATCACTGAAAACACATCTAAAAAGAAATAAAAAGAAAAGAAAAACTGCGGATGTAACATAGTGTTCTTCTGCATATCAATGGGAAGTACGAGCCGAAGAAAAAAGAGTTATCTCAAGACGACAAATAGAATGTAAACAATTAAGAATAGATCAATACTATGCTAAATATGTTAGTTCGCAGCAGATCTTCGAAGTATATTTTTAAAAAATCTTGTTGTCGCAGTCCCTGTGGAGCTGAAATGTAGAAGTTACATTTTCCATATGAACTAGCAGATAATTTACTGTAGTTTTCTTTTTCAATGTACTAAAATATACTGTGAAGTTTGGAACAAATGAAGTGAAACAATGAGAAGTTTGTTTGCTTTATTAAAAGTGATCAACATTACTGACAAAAATATGAAATTTCTTTGTTTATATCGTTTGCGATATGATTAAATTGTTATAATTTTTTTTATGTATACAACTAAACACAACGTTGATTAGTTTATGACAGAGAATTTTTTTTTCTTTTTTATCAAGTAATCATACTATTGTTTTTGTGATATGACAAAGACGAATAATATATGACAACGGTTAAAATGGATAAACTTACGATTCTAATGATATTTCTCTGGAATTCAGACAGCTACAAATAAATGTTGAACTGCGAATTGTCAAAAGAAAAAAAATCGTCACAATGAGATATATTGAAAGAAGAAAAAATTATTATATAAACGTATCAGCTAATAGGTATAAAATATTTAAAAAGTTTGTAAAAGAATTTAAGAGGGCGTCCATGAGATCATCGAGGAATTTTTAAAGGGTCCATACTCCCGAAAATTTTGGCCACCTCATTTTATTTGTGGAATCGATAGCCCATGAGGTGAAACTACTCTACCCAAAATATTTGCTCGATTGATTATATAACAAAAAAGTTATGCAGACCACACTGATGACTACACACTGATTAAGTCAAAATTGATACGACGTAGTTATCAAGCAAAAATCAGTATTTTTGAGAATTTATCTCTCAAGATTAGTTGATCCCAGAAATTTGGATCGTACATCGGATGGGCAAATAAAAAAGCTACAAAACCAGCCTAAAACAAAAAGTTTTTAATCCGTAAAAAAAAAATTTTTTTTGGGAGTATGGGGTTTCTCGATCCTGTGGTGGACTCTCTCTTAATAAGATGTAGGTGCTTAATGTATTATTGCACCTCTGTCAAAAGGGAGAAAATGAAGAACTACTAGATTGTATACACATATAATTTTTTAATGACAGGTTATTTTGTTATTGCTACATTAATGTATGAATTATGTTGAGTAATATAGATATAGAGTTATTATACACTAAAATTGGTATGGATGTAAATGTTGATTATATGTTTATTCCCAAGAGGATGTGGGTGTGGGCGAGGCGAACACTAATACTCTGCAGCTTTTATTCGGAACTGATGCTTTCATCACTGGATGCTCTTATTTGATCGACAAGACTCGCTGCTATTTTAAATTGTTTTTCATGTTAAAGCAAACTACAATCGTCGATTTTTTAGCAATCGTAGCGTTTTTTAAGTTGTGTAACAACATGATAGCGAAACTATGCATTGTGAAACATTGAATCGATCTAAAAATAAGTCAGTATCATAATATTTGCTTTCTCTAAATGATTTATTCTTGAGGAAATCAATGAATCTATTCATGAAAATTCTACCAAGTTCACTTGATCTTTTTAGCCATTTTTGCTTGTTGAAAACATTAGTCTGTAGTAAAAATGTTGGTTTCAATTTGAAGAACCATTGAGTGGTGATGAAAGAAGAGAAAATATCGTTCATCGCCTTTATATTTTGCACAAAGAGTAATTTCTGAACTTTGTGGGATACTCAATATGTTATCTAAAGATATGAATAATTTTTTTTTAGATTCTCTCTGATTGATTCTTTGTTTGCTTCTTCAAATCGAAAATACAATACGATTTTCGTTGTTTTATCTTTCTGCTGGTGAAGATAAGTCGAAAAGTTGACTAGTCATATCGTAGGGTCGAGAAGGCTATGAGGCTGGATCACATCTTTAGTCATAATCACACCCACAAACCCATATCCATGATATGTGGATGTAAGGACTGACTCTGCAGATCTTGATATTGAATTGTCACCCATGGAGTAAAATATTCAAGGAAACGGACTGCGTAACGCGTTTCTGAGATTGCAGCATGCGTTTCGCAACGTTTTTTCAATATAGAACGCGTTTCACAGCATTCTTACTTCGATAGAATGCGTTTTGCTGCCGTCGTTTTTTGAAATGATCTGAAACGCGTTTTTCGAAGATTGCGTTTCGAAGCGTTTCCGAAGTAAAATAATGTCGAACGCATTTTGGTCGATAGGTAACGCGTTCCAGAGACACAGATTCGGAGAAATATGAAACGCGTTTCCTTTTCAAAGGCATTTTCCATCGTTTTTGTTTGAAATGATGCAAAATATATCCGTTTTGCATACAGAATCTTGCAGGAATTTATCTGTACAAAACGTACGAGTTAAGCAAAGTTAATTCTGGCACTATGTTAGAAATTATAGGAAATGGGATTTGAACATTTTGTTCCTTGCACTGTTTCTCAACATGAAAATCATGACCGAAACTTTCCAAACGCAAGATTAAAATCGAATTCTTCTAAATGTTTAGACTGCTAGACTGTTATATAAGTCTGATTGGTAGTTAGACTAGTATTGAACATTAAAGTGTAAGAAAAATATTTTTTTTCTTCCTTGAAAACTCATTTCACTAGGTTTTTATTGAAAGAAAACGTGTTTCGTAACGTTCAACCAAGCATTGTTTTAAATATTGAACAATTCGAAAAGATTTAGCAAAGACTGATGCTAGTATAATGTGTACGACAACTTTGTTTGTTTATTTGTGAACAAAAGAATCTCGAGTTATTTATAATTTGAATAATTATTGATATGAATTCATATTTGGACTACTTGATAGTGACTGATGATACTGTGTACAATACTATTAAATATGATTTTAGTTCTTACTTTGTTAATGTCAGCGTGACTTATTAATAAAAAGAATATTCGATTTACAAAAGAATATTCTTTGCATTTAGTGATACTTTTGGATAAAAGGATGACGAATTTACTTATACAAAAATCTATTAAATAAAGAAAACAATTCAAAAAATTTGTTTTTAAATTTCTTAAAATTTATATCTAAGAGATTCAACTTGTTTAAATATTAAATACAATTTAAATTAATTACAATCGTTTCAATTGGGTATTTAAATTTAAACTTGAACAAGTTCAAATAAAAAATATACCAAGAGTAGATCAAACTCGTTATTGGATATAGGCACCAAGGAAATGATAATGTATAATTTAATGGAATGGGATACTGAAAATCTAATTTAGTAAATTTACGCAAGACTCTTAAAGACTATGGAATAAGCACTTATATCATTAGATTATTTTAGTTGAACGGTTCGCACACATGTCTTCTACTCTTATGTTCACGTGTTCGAATCTATGTGTTGGCTTTATCAAAATTGATCTAAGTTATAGCTCTAAAGGTGTATGAAAAATGTAAGCGAGTAAAATAATTGTATCTGCAGCTCAAAGTGCATGAAGTTCTTGACGGTTTTCATTTTTTTCCATCTAGAATATACGACACCACAGTTAGAGAAACGCTACGAAACGTTTTTAGAAAAACGATCGTTTCACAGCGTTCGTATTAGCAGATGTGAAATGCGTTAAACCGATCAGCATTAACGCGTTTCGCAACTATGGAAAAATGCGTTTTGAGAACGCGTTTTTTTCGCAGAAATTTACGCCATGGGCAGACACTAGGTCGCTTGATGGTCTCATTTTCATTGAAGCAACTGACGAATAGATGAACAGGTATTGGAACACCTTACTCAAAGAATGTGATAGTCTTATGTGATCGACAAAATCGTCTTGTTACATTTTTCATCGGTTAACAAGAAAGAAAAAGGGTACCGATTTTGTGAAGAGGCGTATGGGTTGATCATATCTCTGCTAACACCCACATGCACAGCCTTTTCGGCAGGCTTTCTCAGAAGAAAGGGATTGAATGTTGCTCAAACCTTTTTTTTCAGACACTAACAAGCTAAAGACTGTTTGAAGATGCAAGCAAAAGTTTCGGATATGTGATTGAACAGAATTGGTGGTGGTTCATCTGAACCGACTATTATAAAGTTAAATCATGTAAACATTCTTGAGGGTGTGAATGTGGGTGGGCGTGGCTGTGGATGTGTGTTTTACTCCTCTATTTAACGACACCCATACCCACACCTAAAACTGAGTATAATAGATATGTTTTCATTTTCCAGCTCACCGATGATAGATGATTTTAGTAAGACGATACTTTGCTAGAAAATGCCGGTGATCATCAAGAGTTTGTTAAAAAGCTAGTGTAAAAGAGGAAAAATTATGTCTCTTCTTTGATCATTTTGAACAACAAAATAAATTCGACAAAATAAGAGGTTTTTCAAACCCTCTAATATATCAAATAAATGCACTGGATGATAGCGAAACAAAAGAATGAATTTTATTAGCTTTTTTTTGCATAAAAATAATTAAAATATTTCGAAATTTCAGATTTTTATTTTGTGTCATCTTGTGGTACATTATTTAACATGTAAAAGAATTCGAAAATCTCTTATTTGGGCTGAATTTATTCTGCTGTTTAAAATGATCAAAGAAAAGACATATTTTTTCTTCTTTTATAGTAGCTTTTTAACAAACTCTTAATGATCACCGGCATTTTCTAGCAAAATATCGTCTTACAGAAAACATCTATCGTTTATGAGCTCGAAAATGAAAGCGTATCTATTATACTTAGTTTTTTATGAACTTCACAATGGCACTGTTTGCAAGCAAAGAAAAGTTAATCGGTGAATAGAACCAAAAATGTTTCAGACGCTTTTTCCGCTGAAGATTTTATGTTTGATAACATTTTGCTAGTGTCAAAGGACAATAAT